TGAGCTCTTGCATGCACTCTGTCTGTCTATACACCCCAGATGCAAGCAACTGACGGCTGCAGAAGCAGCAAGCCCTCAGTTCCCGCACCGCTCGGCACGAACCGCTCGCATGCTGCTGCAAATGAAAGCAAAACACCTCGAAGACCAACACCCCCCGGCCGTCTCTGCAACCACGGAAGAACCCGTCTGTCTCGCCGCCGCAGATGTGGCTGAGGGCGCGCGCTGAGCAGCCTCAAATGCGTGCGAATGACTTGCTGGTGATTTGTTGCAGCCTAGCGCGAGCCGAGCCCCAGAAGAAGCAAAGCGGCAGGGATCGCCGCAGGCTGCAGCAGTGCAACGGGCTGAGCCACAAGTACTCGTTTCTATGCGTCAACTCGACAGTCCTGTTGTGTAATGAGGGCTGCCTGCTGGGCTTTCTGTGCCTGGGCTGCGCGATGAGACACCTGTCCCAGTACGCTGCGGGCGGGCTGAGAGAAGAAGGTAAATGGATCTGTAGACGTCTCCCCACGGCCCAGAGCTCGCCAATGGAGATGCCAAAGTGTTTCCCAAAAGGACATTCAACAAATATGACACTTTTCCCGAGAAGAGAATACGCATGCGGCACGCAGCAGCAGCCGCACATTCAGTCCTCGGCCGACGGCGGAATGCAGCTGCGATCGGTCACCCGAAAGCGCAACAAAGTTCAGCAGAAGACTATTTATTGAAGTGAAGTTCTTAGTTTCATATTGGATCATCATAAGAAAAAAACGCAGTCTTTTTTGTCTACTTATTCTCATGCCCTGTCAACATACAGCCCGGGCGTGGGGGGCGCCCGTGGGCACGGATGCAACTTTTTAACTTTATTGAACAAAAAGGCATTTCAAATTCATTGCTAGATGCAGAATGCGTTTGTCATCGCGCTTGAGAGATGCAGCAACCTTTACTACTTGCCTACCTTGTACTCACTCGAGTATTCCCAAGCCTCACAACATATTGTACGACGGGTATAAGGGAATTTTCAGTGGTTGAGTCGCTTTGTCGTGCCAATATCCTGTGAGAAGGGCCCCCCGTTTGTGTATGTGCTAGGTGCCTGGTTTCACGCAATGTGGTTTCGTGCGATCTATAAGATGGCGTCTATGCGGCGTTGTTCCTAGAGAGTACCGACGGTATTCTGGGGTCCGATATGGGGGAAAGCAATACTTTTATACGCGTATGCCTCAATGCTTTGTGAATAGCTTTTCTATCTACACTGCTTTCTTGAATTGGGAGAATGTTATTTGCTACACGGATTACGTGTTCGGCTTCAACATGGAATGCGCTGAGGTGTGGCGGCATCTGCAGACCGTGGGCCTCCCCATTAAGACAGCCAATAGCAACGACTGTAGTGTCGAGATAGCATCCGCTTTGTGAATTGGAATGCTGCATTTCTCAATGTTTGACAGTGTACAACCTCTCTAGAAGACCACGGAAAAGCTGTCCGCGTACAAGCAGCAAAAGATCTCAGAGCGCGCAAGACGGAATGCATACCGCGTAGTGAGTCCGCCGTCTTATCTGAGGACAATCGTGAGCTGCAACAGTGTTGAAAGACTTGAGGTAAGAGTTTCCAGAAAGCAGATGGCTACCTCTCCACTCACTAGGCAGCCTGGGGCCGGGCGAGAGGATGTGACTTGGCACGAGTTGCAACGCATCCTGCCACAACACGTACTGAAATGCAATTTGACGTGCATGCGCAACCAAGCCATGTTTTTGCATGCGTTAACACTATAGCCGGTAGCTGACCACTGGCCTGGCCCTCAGGGCCAGCCTGCACACAAGTAGGTGTACGCAGACCAACATCGCACTGACTTTGGAGAGATTGCTGCACTTCAGGGACTCTGATCACAACTGTTTTGACTCTAGTGCACCTGGCTGCTGTCCTCGGATACGATCGAAGATTCTTGATGCACTTTATTGTTAAGAGGCGAACGCGCGATGTACCGCGCAACGCAACTGGACTCTCTGGCTAATCGTGACGGCGCTTTGGCCGTAAAACACACAGAAAAAAAATTGTAGAGTATATCACTGCAATCTTCGTCGCATGTTGAGACATTTCCCTTCTTAAATTATATATATTCATCCGAATCTGCCGAACAGCCGGAAAGGGACCAACGGCTGGGCTCACCGCAATGGAACGGGAGCTGCCTCCGCAGTCAACCCAAATCTCTAGATGAAGCTATTGTTGCCTAAGTGCTGGGAACCAATGCAGGAGGGCACCTGCAGGCATCCTCAGCACAATCTAAATGGCGTATCTTGAGAAGTGTGCATCCAGGGCCCTGGGAGGAAGGGCGCGAGACGACTGCAACGCAGTGCACAGACACTGCCGGAAACGACGGAGAAATGCATGCATTCCGCAGTGATGGCCTTACGAAGACTGCAGTGAGGTTCCGATACAGTTAACTGCCGAGGAACAGCAGACGTGAGCAAAGTTAACTGAAGAGCTGTCAGGTGAATTGAAAACAGTGAGCTCACAGCAACTCTACCTTCCGCTGCATGCCCAATACCCGGAGAATTACCCAATTCCGGGGCAACCCCAAAGTTTTCTGTGATGTGCATATGCCTCCGTATCTTCGATAATAACTAGGACAGAAGGCGACAGCAGTGCCAAGCAAAAGCAAGGTTGGGCCATTAAACAGATTGTTTGGAGGCAATCCAGTGCTGGGGAAGAAAACAGTACAGGAGGCACATCTCTGCGCAACCTTCAAACCCCCTATCGAAGCCACAGTTAAACGGAATTTTCCGAAGCCTAGAATCGGCAAATTGCTTGACGGCTTGCAGGGTTCATCAGCCTATTCATCATTCGGTGACGCGCCCGTGCAGTTCCGATATACCTCGGCATGATAGGTACAATACTGCGTTCTACGCAGGCAATCGAAAATTAGCTTGAATCTATACCTCATTTGGGCTCCTGACCACAGTTGCTCATCTGCAGCAACAGGTTAGAGACGACTAACTGTGCCCCAGTTGCATCCCCTGCACCCTCGCATGGGTGTATATAAGTTCCCTCGTCTCCCCCAAGACTACGGCACGTTTTTCCCCAAATTGCTTCGCATTGCTCCCCTTATAATGGATCGGATTAAGAAATAGAAGAAACTTATTAGGACAGACACCGAAGAAGCCTACAGCAGACAGGAGCCTCACCAAAAACTTGACGTCTTTCCCAATGGCTTGTTACTCATATTGCTTCACTGAAAAAGAACAGAAGAACCACGCTCTTTTTGTGCACTCAAACACTGTTGCTGATCGCCAAGAGGTTGAGGGGCCCCCAGAGCCCAAAACGTATACATAAGTGTAGGCTTGCATCTACTGTAGATGGCGCCGAACTTCAACGCTTTTATGAAGGTGTAGCGTGCCGTGAGTGAGGTTGGTACGAGGTTCTTGAGGAATGCTTAAGGCAATATTGGTACGTGGCGAGTAACACGGGAGGCATCTGCCAATGAGAAGTGCGTCTCTAGCGTATGCTTTTGGCACCCTTAGCACAGAAATAAGTTGCTACAGAAGATACTGAGGGTTAGTGGGAGGGCAGTGCCTATATATATCACCTGATAAAGATGAAACTTGTACCTTACAGGCTTCTTTTATATTCTGAGTTATAGTTTGCATGGCGGCGGCCGCCCTAGTCAAGCTCTACAGGACGTTCCTATCAACTGAGCCGGCGATAGAAATGACGGCAACAAAAANACGTAATAGAAACGGTATAACTTTGTTTGTGGCTGGACTGCTTGGGATTTAGCTTTCGATGCGGAGTCTACGTTGCAGTGATGGTGGTGTATCTTCGTCGGCTACTGTGCATTTGAAGTAGGGCTTGTTAGTTTCTGATGTATTAATCGATACTTTTATGCACGTCGGAGTTTGAATGCAGCCCTCAGGTATGCCTGCATGCGGAGTTTCCTTGCGGCAAAAGCTGCAGCAAGATGTGCTGCAAAACTGGATGGGCTTCCTCGTCTCCTCGCCAACTCCAGGCCATTGGCCGCACGATAGGAAGGGACGCCAGAAGACTTTTGGTGAACTATTATCGTAGCTATTTTGGCTATATTTCGGCTTATGCTGGCAACAAGGAAAGGCTGATACAAGCGACATGCAGCATCCCTCCTCTAATGTTAAACTGCACTTATCTAATTGCGCGCACGGTGGACGCTTAGGGCCGCGTGTTATGCGCATGCATACAACATTATTGCATAGACCGAAATTGGGGCTTGGGGATTCCTGCAAGAGGTATTGGTGCAGCAGGGCTTGCAGCGATGCATGCAGCAACTCACGACGGGCGTCTACCCCCCCCGCCTGACTGTCCCAGGGCTTTGAGTCTTTGCGCCAAGGAACAGCTGGAGACTGCGGGGATATCCGCTACCTCTGGAAATTGTATCAAAGAGATTTTTGTTCTTTTTTGTCTGAGATCGACGCCTTCTTTCACTGCCAGGAAACTGCGGCTTACAGGGATCTCTGTCGCTATTATTTTTGGCTGCGCATGCAATGGATTCAGAATTATAATACATTTATAAATTATTTTTGAATGATCGGAGTGATACTCGCTCGGCAGCAACTTGAAACAGAGAGCAGCGGCTGCACTGGCTGCATTCAGCACCAGAAACTGCGACAATACAACTTATACAAATACCGCGGAAATATTTATTTAAATTATTATTCTTTAATTACCCCAATTTCTCTTCTTTTGATGCCGTCTCTGGGGGCCCCCCAGCCCCGCTCGAAGTTGAACAGGGGCCCCCACCCTGGTCTTCTACGTAGGGCCCCGTGCAGATCACCCTTTTCTTCTTTAAAAAGCTGAGCGAAATTTCTTGATTATAAACCGAAAAAGGTATAAATATGTCTATTTATTAGCATATTTAATATTTCCTGCTCCTCTCCTGCACCCCGCCTGGCTTGCAGCAGTAGGCAAGCGGCACCCACCGGGCCGCATCCTTATATATTGTTTCCGCCTTTCTTCCTTCTTCTTTGTTCCTGCATCCTTCTCCTGCATTTGTAATGCAATGCCTTCTTCTCCCAAGCCTATAGACCCCCCCGGGGGTTCTTCTTCTGTGTGGCAGCAGCAGGCGGTGCCTGCCGCCTGTGCTGCTGCTGCAGTTGCTGCTGGTGCTGCAGCAACGCTGCACTTCGCTGGGCGCGTGAGGGGGGGCCCAGTGCTTGTAGCTGTGGAGGTGGGAACGGCCTTTGCCTGTGCGGGGTACTTGGCCTGGCGTTTGGTTCGGGGGCCATCACCAGCATCACTCTCATCCTCTGCTGCTGCTGCAGCACCTTTACCTGCAGCAGCAGCATCATCATCATCTACCTCTGATACCACAGCAGAGAACAAGGAACCAGCAGCAGCAGCAACTGCAGCAACAGCAGCAGCAGCAGCAGCAGCAAGCAGCAACCCAGCGCAGGCGGTTTCCCGCGCGGCAGAGGGCTGCTGCGGCGGGGGCTCTGGTGGCTGTGGTTGTTTATCTGTTGCAGAAGAAGAAGAAGAAGAAAAAGAAGAAGAAGAAGAGGAGGAGGAGGAGCAGCAGCAGCAGCAGCAGCTGCATGCAGACCTAGAAGACCTTCAGGGCAGCGACGATGAGTTTACGAGAGCCGCTCGTGCTGCGAAGCTCTCTACTTACATGCAGCCAAAGGCAGCGCGGCGCCGCG